CCCATGGTTTTTAGTGGATATGTTTCATTCGCGTAGTGAACGTAAATCGTAAGTCATTCTCGGTAGACTCTTCCTCCTTTATCGAGCCAAGACATACTCCGGGAAAGTTACCGGAAATGAAATGGATCTGGTTGAAGTTTGTCCGAAATCTAGTCGTAATGAGGTCTTGCTTGATGGAAAGTCGAAGGCGAAGTACAGTTTCGCTGAGAAGAACGAAATGATTTGACTGGAATGTCGCTCAGATATATCTTTATCGACGAATAGTTGATGGGAATTGAACTAATGGAGAGAATGCTAGTCCCTAAGTATCGCTGACTCTGGGGTCCTCGGGAAGTTTTCCAGTTGCGGCAGCAGCCGGAGACTTTGGAACCGAAACGAGGTAGTAGTATACGAGTGAAGATGACCGAATACCGATGCAATCTCCGAAAGTACTTTTGGAGCCGTATGGATGTACGCCTGCTTGTCTAGAAATGGGCATTCAGTCCACTAGTTGCTTCGCTGCCAGCACTTCACTCGATCGTCGTAGTTACTGAAAAAATCATTTGGAGGATAAAGCTTGAAAAACACAGCAAACAAAAAGAAAGTGATTAATTCATAAGCTTTACCTACAAAATGGAACACTACGTGGGTGGGGTCGTATGTTCGTTGGTACCTACAAAATGGAACACTACATGTTCGAAGTATGTCCATTGGCATACTTTCTCTATGGCTGCTGATTCAGACTGCGTTTGTTCACGAAAGATGTCAAGTAGTGCATGCTTCTGCGAGCCTAAGGAATGATTGAAAGTAACACATGATCCTGCGTGTCATCGAGAAACTTTCTAGTCAGAGGAGCAGTTTACCTGTCGGAGTACATGAACTACATTTAAGTCGGTGTTGACTTCGGAACGGGAGGTATACCGGGAAATCCCACTCATTGATCCACTGCTGAGCTTCCAGTCTGCTCGGTGTCATACTTCCCCATCAAGGAAATAGTTTTTCTTGTGACCATTAATTTGCGCTACCAGACTTCAAAGGATATATTCATTCTTGGCCTTCACTCATCGGGATGTCTTGTTTGTATCATTCGGTCAGAAAAGTTAACGCAGGTGGGAGCCGTGACTCGACGGTTTTTCATCCACCAGGTTTGCTCTGCCACGATGGCCAGAAAGGCTTGATGGGTGTTTGTGAACTCTGTGGGAGTGAAATCTGCACTCGAAACGAGGTTAGCTGAAGACATGTGGTGATGGTCGGTATAGAGATGTATACCACCACTTGGCTTCATCGATCTTCGCAACCATTGATGTCACCAGCTACACATCTCTACGACATGATATGGGAACATTTCATCGGTAATCAGTGAAGATCTTCTCTGAGATGACAGCATCGCTGCCCTTGATTCGGAACTGTTCTATCAGTTCCCTTAGCCTTCCTTCGTCATTTGAAATTTTACCATCACGGAAAATGTTCGCATTTTCAGTGATATCGTCGTATTCACGCCGAAGAAACTCCACAACAAATTCGATCCCAATGAGTTCAAATATGACGGCAACTACGACACTGACAA